ATAATAAATATAAATTATGAATTTACTTTTTTTTCTGTACATGATTTTTTTTATTTCGTTCATTATTTGTTGTCTTAGTTTTTTGATTGTTATTATCATTTGATTGTCGTTGTTTCATATCTTTAGATTTTGATGATTGATGTTTAATGGGTTTCTTTTGATCATTTTCATTATTAGTTTTTTTATTAGTTATTAGTATTGATGTTGATTTAGTTGAACGTGATAATGAATTAATTGTTGGTCGTTTTTTTGCTGTTGATATTTTCGAATGATCATTTATTTTTGATGATGATGATGGCGATGCTGAACGATATGATCGTGTTGTTGTTGTTGATGATGCTGGAGATGATATACTTTCATTAAAATGATCGTTAGGAAATGTTCGTCGAGTATGATTATTATTATTATTATTATTATTAATATTATTATTAATATTATTATTAATAGTAGAATGAGTATTTTTACGTTCTTCATGTTGAAATTCTTCATCATCATCGTCATCATCATCTTGAGCATCTGTATCATCACTTGTTGATGCATCTGATGAATAATCATCATCAGTTTTACGTTTTGATCTTGGTAATTGTTCAATATGATCACTTAATACAAGTTTTGGTTTTCTAAATAAAATTTAAAAAAAAAAAAACATTTATCGAAATTGATTATTTCACTATATTAATATTTCAAACAATTGAATTTAATGCAAACAGAAAGATTGATTACTAGAACATGAAACCTTCAAAAATGTAAAAGATGACTGAAAACTGAATATTGAATTGAATAGAGAAGCTTATGAACGATTGAAAGTCTTTTATTGTTATACATCAAAGGGAGATTAATAACAGTGTTCTATTCAGAAAAAGTAATATATTGGTTTTTCTAGAGTAAAGATCAAAATACTTGCGCAGAGTACTGCTTGGTCAAAGATTCAATATTACTTTTTCCTCATGATGATAATCGATTGAAATCGACCAATTCCAATAATTGTGAAGAAAAGTTATTGAGAAAATACTTGATCTAATTATATCTTCTAAAGAACTCATGGAGTTATTTTTGTGTTTTCCAGCAAAATAACTCTTAAATAGGAAATCACGGCAAACTGTTTTTTGTATTTCGACTTAAAAATTTGTAAAGTGAAGGATCCTATCGAAAATAACTTGTTGTAAAAGTTCCAAGTCTTTTTGTTTGTTCTTTTCTTGGAATAAGAATATCAGATCAGTCGATGTATTTGAAGAACCGAAACGAATATTTGTTTTTTTGTCGAGATATTGAATTTCTAACTAAGCTTAATTTTTATAGCATATCTATGACAAACGACTATTTCTTGAAAACTCAATATCTCGACAAAGGAATATACTTTTCTGCTAAAACTTTCATAATCTTCTAAGAGTAATTAGACGTATTCATAGCCAAAACTTAAGATTGAATATTCAGTAAAACTATCATAACTTGGCTGCAAAAGTCTATGAGCACGAGTTCTTCTAGGATTAACCTAAAGTCTTTTCAGGATATTCTCAACTCATTATAGTCTACATTATAAACAAGATGTCAAGTTAACAGAGATTAATCAGTTCATGAACTTCTTACATAAGGCTTTCATCTTTTTCAATATAACTTGATTATCTGTGTTTCGTTTTGCTTAATTGAATATATCCTCTATAATTTTCCAACATGAAAATTTTCTTTTCAAAATATTAACAAAAAAACCCAATCTGAGTATTATCAGTATTTTTCATTATTATTTTGATATCCTACCGCGTAGCTGTTCCTTTTCTTGAATCACACATTTCACATCGAAATGCCAAACATGGATTTTTATATGTACACAATGAGCAATCCCATGTTCCATCATTAACAATTACACGTGATCGTTTTGCTCTATAATAAAAGTAAAAATTAAACAAAAAAACTCTAATCAGAATAATTAATTTTTTCTCATACTTCCGATCTGTCATGATTTAAAACATTGATGATTCATAAAACTTTAATTCATCTAAAAATATTAAAATTTCAAACAATACTTTTTGTTTTATTTTTCTTCTGAATATTTTTTATTTTTTTCATCATCAACTTTTCTTTTTAAACGTTCTGTATATTCAAGTTTAGCTTGTCGATCAGCAGCAAATTCTCGATAATTATCAATTCCTTTTGGTATTGTATTAAAAAATTCTTTGACATTCGAATATGTTCCTTCAACAGCATTACCCATACGTAATTGCATACCAGAAAAACGTGTACGACATGATTGATCGCAATACGGAGCTTTTTCAGTTAATTTACACATACATAATTCAGCCATTTGAAATTTTGCTGAAGTAAATTTTAACGGACCAAAGTCACCTCGTAAATGTTTACATGATTTATCGCAAAATGCCTTGAATAAAGACATTATTTAAATAAAACAAAAACTATTACATAAAATCAAAACTTTACTTGATGTTGTGCATAACCACATGAACACCAATAATATGTTTTATTAGGAAAAAGTTCTGCTTTAATCGGTTGAAAACCACCAATACGTTTTCGATGATAACTAGCTTCAGGATTTGAACGTGCTTGAAATGATGTTTTTAAAAATTCCCAAAACGGTATACGAACATTCTAAATAAGGCATTCCAAAGAAAAAAAAAAAAAAGAAAACAAAATATTAAAAAAAGGACAAATAATAATAAAACAACGTACGCACACGTATTGGTTGTATGACTTGATTAGATTTTACTATTAATCGATTGAAATTAGATGAACAATGAAACATTATTATCTAAAACATACAGTAAATCACTTAGCATTAAAAAAGAAGGACTTTGAACAACATATATTGATTTTATATATTATATACATGGCAAAAAGAAAGAAGTAAAAAGAAAAGTTATTATTATATATATATAATCATGGCGATTTTTTTTTTCATTTAGGACTCAAAGTGATGTATTGAATGCTTCTTTAATCATTGTTTTCACATGATTGACAATCGTTGGTGAATCACTGAAGTGAATCTAGAAAACAAAATAAACTATAAATAAACATACGATAATTGTATACTTTAAATAAATATGGTTGAATATCAGTATATGATGTATCAAAAACTAAATCCAGTTCTGATAAATGTGGTGGTTTGGGTACATAATCAGGTTTATTACTTGAAAATAAAATAGATGAATAATTAATTAAAAAAATAATTTCATTAATTATTTTCTTACATTATTTCAGTTATTTGAAAAATACGTTCTGTCAATGAATCAGAAAGTTTTTCACGCATAAATTGTCGTTCTAAAATAAAAATTCTTAATCATTAGACAAAACAAATCTTCACCTTCATATGTCAAATAAACAAAAAAAAGAAGCCTACCATTTTCACTAGATAATTGCATTTGTTCAATCTTAATTGTCCATATTTCCCATGGAATTTCTTCTGGTTTAAACATCCAACGAGATTTTTTCTTTTGATAAAATTCAAGTGTAATCTATTCAAAAAAAAGTAATATTTCAACTATTTATTTACATAATGCTCTGTTTTATTTTTCAGTTACTTGGCCACTACGATTTGAATCTGATGAACGAAGTTTATCATGGAATTGATTGATCTTTTCAGCTACGGCACGTTGAAGTTCTTGACTAGTTACTTGAAGCTAAAAAGTAACAGATTAATAATGTCTATTTAGTTTGTATCTTGAATTAGATTGAAGAGTTAGTTTCAAAAACTGCGTTTAAAAATAGAAAAACTTTTAAAATATGTCATGCAAAAGTAAATAACGCGCTCTGTAAAACAATCTAAGTCATTAAAAACTGTTTCGGATTTTTGAATTATTTGTCAAATATAATTCGGAAAGAAAATTCTCAACACATATTCGGAAAAAGTAGAAAAGTGACAATTAATTGCATGTTTGAAAGAAGCGTGTTTTCATTGTCAAATAGTGAAAACTGCAGTAGACAGAAGATTTCAAATAAGGAAAAATTACAGAGGATTGTGAGAGATTTTTAAAGCAACTACTACTTTAGTGTACGGCGTCATGCTCAATTACGAGAGTTCACTAAACATTCGTATATCTACTCATATCTAATTTGATGATGTTATTTTTTAGCATTGCGATCAATTGTCAAAGACTCGAAAAAGTCGAATTCTAACCTATTGTTTTTAAGTAGTCGAACAATGAGTACATAATTTTGTATTCAGATTTCTGTGCTATAAGTTACCATTCAAAGTTTAGATTAAATAGGAAGTCTTATTCCTATAAACTCAACCGTGTAAAGAGATCGTATATCATTAACATTTCGTTATAATATGCGAACTATTTCCATATGATATTTCAAGAGTAGGAAATAAAATATAGGTAAAGACATGTGTCTCAAAAAAGATAGAACAAAGCAATCTCCCTGTGATCAGTAACCGCAGTTACATCGTGTTTCACATTGTAATCCCAGAGGAATTGCTCTAACAGCTTTTTTCACACGAATTTAAATTCTTTCAATAGTTCTATGATAAATAGAAGCGACTGCATTAATGTAATTAATTTGAACCATTAACTTTGAATTTTAATACATAAATGAATAGTTCATTCTGTTTCGCAGCTTATCTCATTTACTAAAAGCTTTTAATTGTCTTTCATAGATTAGCTAATGAAAAATATGTTATTCAATCTTGCTTAATTTATTCTACCAATGAGTCTGGTAAATAATACTTACATAAGTAAAATCAATATAATCACAATCAACATCAGTATAACCTAAGGTTCCAACTGAATAACTATCTTCACCATTGGTATGATACTAAGAAAAAGCAACCGATCATATAATTTATATATATAAATCTATTTCAACAAACTTTTCCAACACAACGATGAAATAAAATTGTATGAAACATACAAGAAACAACTTCATCTATTTGTCGACCTTCAACAGCAAATTCAAATGTTTGTGATCGTGCATTCATTTTATCTGAAAAATTGAAAACAAAAAAAAAACAACAACAATAAACTTTCTCAATCACAAAAGAAAACTAATTATGATGAAGATATTGGTAATTTTTTATTTTTTTTCAATACACAAGCTTCTTCATATGCTGGATGAATTGGTGGTTGTACAGGTTCTATATATGATTGATCTTGTTCTAATGGATATGTTTTATCAGAATCAAAACCATCTAAACTTCCACATGCAATAAATGGAATAATAAATGATGATTTTTCTTGTGCATTTAATGTACGTTCATATGTATAAATAAATGGTTCATCTATATTAGGAATAAAATTATCGGGTAAATGAAATTGTCGACAAACAATAAATGATTCAACAGATGAATTTCTTGATGAACGTGGTTTAGCAATAACAACATCATCAAAAAATAATTTTAATTGTTGATAAAGTAAATCAATATTTTTTGTACGAAATATTTTTGATACAAAATTACCATTATCACATAAAACATGAAGGCATATATTTAATGCTGCTAAAACAAGATTACCTTGAACAAATTCATCAATATCATGTAAACCTGTTACATCAGGTGCACCATCACATAGAACAAGATCAGCTTTTTTATTTATTTTATTATCAGATGTTGTAAAACAATTAAGAATTTCTTCAATTGTTGAACGCTTTGTTATATCACCTTTTATTTGTTCAACACCAGGTAAGGGTGCCATAGTTTGTAAATCAACAGCAACTATTTTAACTTGATCATCAACTGAATCAGGTTTATATAAAGTTCGAGAAAGAACTTGTGACCAACTTCCTATTGAAAAAACAAAAAAGAAAGATGAAATATCCCATAGAGAATTTTCCACTATGTATGTATATTCGATATTGGCGATTGAATAAGAATACAAAGTAATGTCTCCACTGGAATCAAACAAGAGAAGGTGTAATTTTATTAACTTGACAAAAGCAATAACTAACGATCTGTAGTTTTCAACAATCAAACAAGAACTTCGGATATTTTTTTTGTCTGATATTATATAAGAGATAATTATTTTAAAACTCATTATCGTTGGAAGAAAAATACATTATCAAAGTCAAAATTACGTCAACATGAAACATCGTTAAATGTGTTGCAAAAATGTCCGGAGTTCTCCTATTTGGACTGCTGAAAACCACAAGTTGTTAACTGTGACCATGGTCGAGTTATTAAAGTTATAACCACCTCTCTTTAATTCTAGTGCGGACATTAGAACTCAATTTTCAGAAATTCATTATCGCTATTTTGAACTACACAATTACATACAGAAGATCGAAATGAACATGAATGACAAAAGGAAACTTCAAATGCTACCACACACATTTTATGTCCTCGTCAAAAAAGACGAGCTACAAACACAATAGGGGTATTCTTATCGAATTTGTCAAACATGAGAGGACCTAGTGAGAGATATTTGTGTCTTATTTAAAGTCCAATTATGGCTTTCGGGAGATTCTCTATAACTTCGTCAGTACAAGAGGTTCAGATGGCTTCAAATTAAACTTAATGTGTGCGCAGTTTTGATATGAACAGAATTTTAACGCTTCCTTTTTTCAACACAGAAATCAACTACTAAAAGAAGTTTAAAAATAGATTTTTTCATTGAAATCTAGAAAGCATTAAAATCGTATATTCATAAAACCCTCAAGTAAAATTTTTAAAAGCACGTAACAGATAACGTAAACTAGCACCATCTATCGTACTTCAATCAAATAAGAATGTTTATTCAATGGTGATTAAAATAAAAAGTCAGTCTCCCCAAAATTAAGAGAAACCATGAAAATTTCTTGGAAAATTTGGTATATAAAGTGAAAGCTCTTCCGAAAATCTGTTCAAATTTGCTTTAGTAGATCTGAAGGATCGCTCAATGACTCTATTCTAAGCTGTTTCGATAGAGATTTTTTCATATGTTCTGCTGATCTCAAAGGATTTGTATAATCCTGTACTCATACTGAAGTATTTAAAATCTTAACATATGATGCTCGATGCTTTCTCTATCTTTTCAAGATTGCTGGTCTTTATTCTTATCTCACTGTATGCACATATCCATTCTGAACAGGAAAAACTTTTCGATTACTTCAAATCAAAAACAAAATATCATACCAGGTGCAGCACAAAGATCCACAACTCGTTTAACATTATCATTTAAAATATTAAATTCACTGTTAATTTGTAAAAGTTTAAAAGCTGATCTTGCCCGAAGGCCTTGTTCTTTTGCTAAACGATAATAAATATCTCGTTTATCTTTTGTTGATTTACCCATCTGAAAAAAGGAAAAATCATCATCAAAATTTTATACACACGACAAAAAATGAATAGAACGTCTTTTTTTTGTTTTTGTTTTATTTAATGCGTTTTTTTCGAAGTATTTTTAAGTTTTGGTCGTCCGAAAACTTGTTTAAGACCGCCAGCATGTTCATTATAAAATTTTTTATTTGATTGTTTATCCGATGTCCATGGTGATTGAAATGATGTTGTATCTTGATCAACTAAATGTGTATATTTGGTACGTCCAGCCATACCAAAATTTTTCACTTGCATAACTTTCGGTAGAACTGATTTATCAAAATGATCTTCAAGTGTTGGTTCACTATAATTCCGTCTATAGATATCATCATCTTTATCCTAGAAAAATAAAAATTTAAAATAAAATTAATTTAGTCAAATAAACAATAAATACAAACCATAAAAAATGCACCACGATGATAATATTTTTGTAAAAATTTATATTTCGCTTTTGGTACTTTATTTGCAATAATTTTCGGATTTTTTTTCAATTCAGCTTCTCGTTCTTCTTCTGTCATATTATGCCAACGTTCAAGTTCTTGTTGTTCACGTTCACGTCTTAAAAAAACAAAAACGACAAATATTTTGGTGTTTTTTTTCAATGAATGGAAAAATCTTATTAGCGCGGTGCTATTGGGACAAATATATGGAAGTCGCATGTATTCTTTAACCTCATTATATAAAGTATATCAAGTGAAAAATATCTGTAACGGACTTCAATTTTTCTCCAAGGACAATTGATTGTCACGAAAACAATCTGTCTTGTTGCTATTTCATTTTCGTACTCCTTTTTTCTTAATTTAACATTATTATTATTCCAACTATTAACTTAACTGGCAAATAAGCCTGTTTTATATACATATTATATTTACAGCAGGTCTCAACGATCTATTTTATATGCCAATAGACTTAGAAATACTGCTATTGATTATTTCCAAGTTATAATTTGATCAGTTCACGCTATTTATGAGGGTCATAGGACAATTGTAGTAATTCAATGCATTATTATTAAGGATGTAAAGGACTAATTCTACTACCAGTCGTAATCACGAGAAAAAAGTCGTCCTGACTAGAACTAAAGGCTATCATTAAATATTCTGTGGTTTTAAGCGAATTATCTTGTAAGACATCAATGAAAACATTATGCAGGAGAGATGTCCCAAAAGAGTACTAGTCGTCAACTAATAAATAAATAAAAATATAAGTGTTGAAGAATCTTTTTTAGATGTGATACTCCCTAGACTGATATTAGGACTCAATTGCACTATTTGTTAATGCCATTTAGCACCTTTTTTCATTGCCTAGGAACTCGGGAACAGGAGTGTGAAATTTATTGTTCTCTTTTCTTATAGAAACGTACCAAATGATCGTTAGCCTCCCTCCACGGATGCTACGAAATGACGAGGATATCTGCTTTTCAGCATTTTCGAATTCAACAGACTCCTACCCCCTACAATGCTTTACTAGTTCCGTCAATAGTGCAGAGTCGCAAAACCTTGATTTAAAACCTTCACCCACTATATTTTTCTTCGAAAAACATGATGTGAGTTTCACAAAATTACTTCGTGCTTTTTTTTCTTTTACTTACTGATCACGTTCTTCTCGATCACGTTTTAATCGTTTAAGTTCACGTAATTTCCATGCATCATAAGCAGTTTCACCATCTTCATCATCAGTATTAAAATCACATTGAATACCATCATCGGCTTCTTTTTCTTTTAATCGTTCTTGTCGAATTGCTTCCTCAACTATCTAAAAAATTCCATAGTAAAACAAATAAACAAAAAAATAAGAACAAATTTTTTTGTTGTTGTTAAATTTAACCTTTTGAGTTTGCATTTTTCGTTCATCAGCCAGACGTTTTTTTTCTTTTTCTAATTGTAGTTGATGTTTTTCTTCAGCTTCACGTTCAGCAACTGTACGACGATCATTTCTAATAATACAAAAAACAAAATTTAATCATTCAATAACATACAATACACTACAACTCGATTTATATTTCCAAAGTTCTATGTAGGAGTCTATAAAAAACTATGTTGAAGATGGAGCTTACTTTCTAACAAAAACTGGTTTCAATCTTGGTACACCTTCATCATCATCTTCTTCTTCATCATCTTCGTCACTTTCTGATTCTTCTGATGGTTCAATTTCTTCTTGTTCTGGTTCTTTTTCATCTTCAATTTGAAGTAATTCCTAGAAAAATAAATTAAATATTGAAGGAAAAAAAAAACAAAAATTTCTTTTTTAAAATAATTCTTATACTTCTTCTTTTTCTTTTGCTTTCATACGTAATTTTTGTCGACGTCGTTCAATTTCTTCTTCATCATGTTCTTCATCATCATCAGATGATTCAATATCCATTTTAACTCGATTAACTTCTGTATTATCATCTGCATCCATTCTCTCTAGTTCTTCTTCTTCTTCTTCTTCCTCCTCTTCTTCAGAACTTTGTTCTATAACTTCTGGTTCTATGATATTCCGATGTCGAGTAATTCTATAATGAAAAAAATGAAATTTATACTTTAATTTATTTTTTTTTTTGTATAAATAAACGTACCGTTCATCATCACGAATATCCTCTCGTGCTTGTAAACGACGAATACGACGATCCTCTTGTTCGATACGATGAACTAAAATACAGAAAGAATAATTTTGATTGTTTATTTTTGAAAATTATATTTACTTGTGGATGTTGTTGCTGGTTCTTGTTTCAATCTTTCTTCCTCTTCTTCTTCTTCATCACTTGCATGCACAACATCTGCATAATCCGGTCTAAAAAAGCAAGTTCGAAACCCGTAAAATATTCTTTTATATAAAATAAACAAAAAATAATAATTATACCGTTTTCCAGCAATATATCGATGAACTTTGACTTTTTGTGTAACTAATTGTCCTTTAGCATTTCGTACACTAATTGCACCAGCAGTAGAAAGTGATGGTGCCTTAAAAAATCCTTCGTCTATGTCGATCATAATTATAGCAGATGACAGATGGGCGAACTTATGTGAAAAGGAATGATTGAAATGAAATAAAGAAATTGCTTCATGGACAGTCATATAAGTGGATCGAATCGGATAGAAACATCTGTAGATGCCGCTAGATATCGTGAAGCGCTTTTATTTTGACATTTTGTGTGGTTCAAATTATGCAAGAACTGTCAGCTAATTGATCTTAAAAATATGTTGGAAGATGCAGGAAAGTAATAATCTACAAAGAAGTAAATTTCTTGCAAAATTTTGAGGCGCAATAAATGCTTTAACAAAGTCTATCCCAATAAAATTGACTATTTTACGAATTTTCACCGCAAAATCATCTTGTGTCATAACTCTGAAATTGTTTAGAGGATTAAGTAAAACTCTTCATTCTCGCATCATTCCACTGCATTTAAATACGTAAAAATAGTCAGATTTTTGTCTAGAAACTTTCGGTCTATCCTTTAATTTTACAATATGCTGATATTTTGGACACGACTATATTATACTCTAGGTTAATGTTTCCTATGACAATTTCAAATCATTTTTTTTCTAAAATTTAGCATATTAAACATAAGAGATGATTTTGGTTCATGATTTTTATGAATTGAACTGAACTGAAACGTGTCAAAACTTATAATAATCTAATGACTGTATTAGAATCTCAGTTTTAGTAGTGACGAACATAAAAAGTCAGAAAGACGGTGACCATTTATCGGAGGAAGCGACATTTAAAATAAAAGAAAAAAAAAACAGTTTCCAAAGTTCATTCGACGTATTATAAACTCTTTCTTTCATTTCTACTGAGGCAAAAAAAAAACGTTCACGTTTTTTGGAGCTAAACAGAGTTAGTTCTTTAATTTATTGATTATGTGTAAATGATAGTAATACTATCATCTAAATATTAGCTTTGAGGAATCTGCAATCAGAGAATGTAGACTATCCTGAGCAGCGTGTATTTCAAATATTCTACTATCAGTCAAGAGAACGAAAGAAGAAATTTTGTGCAGCGGCACCAACCAGAAAATTCACTTACGTATCTTCGACATCCATTTCGGATTCTAATAAATTGAGGAAAAAAATTTAATTCTTAACAAAAATCATATTATCAGCTCATTTAGCAATACAAGCTGACTAAATTACAGAACTATTGGCTAATCATGATTTATTAGTAACATCAGCAAAACAGTCATAAAGTGACGAAATCTTTAAAAAATTGCCGACACAAGTATACTCTACAATGTACTTGCATAAAGATAAGATAACATTATTGCTGATATGAGCTTCATAATAATAAGCATAAACTTTCGATGACAGATAAAAGTACGGTCGAAAATAAGCCTCATTATAATCCACCGAAAAATGATTTTAAAGGTTTAATAATTGCTTTTATTATTTTTATTTTATTTATTCTATTCTGGTATCATGCTTTATTTCAAATTAAATTTACAAAAACAAGTTGGTTTGATATTATTGGAACATTTTTTATTTTGGAATTTTTATATACAGGATTATTTATTATTTGTCATGATGCCATGCATGGTGCAATTACTCATCGAGTGAGTTCTCTACAAAAAATAAAGGAAAAAGAACAGTTTCCATACAATTAACGATGAAACGAATATCTCAATTCTTAAAGAATCAGAATTAACATTTCCATGTGTTAATATATAAGTAATAAAACATTTTACCAGAAGAGTATAATGTAACTCAAAGTTTTTTTATGTTATCTTCTATGCAATACTGAACTTACGGTTGTGAAAAGCAGTTTCCCGTTTCTCCGAGATGCTGTATTTAATCGAGCTGGACACTTTTCTACAGATACTAGACACTGTTTAGGATAGGTATCTTTTTATTTTTTGTCCTTCAAATAAAAGAGCCAAAATATAAAAGATACCCTGAAAGATTTTTTGAAACAAAAAAAAATGTCCATTTCAAATAGTAATAGTATGTGTAAAAAGAATTTCAGTTTTGAATTAGATTATTGATTGAAATTGTTTTGTTA